CTGTGTTTTTAGGGTTATTAACGAAGTTCGTGTACTCAGACCAGTAATATTTGGGGTCCCAAGTTTTGCCATGGATATTTTGTGGGTCAGAAGATAAAAAGTTTGGGAACCACAGATGTAAACAATGTAGCACAAATTTCATTCTTGCATGGGACCATGCATTGATGACATTTACCTTTATATATGTTAGTTCCCCTCTGGGATCAGTAATGTATTTTTAAATATATATAGATATATATACATATATATCCTTGCTGATGCGGAAATAGATCCTAAGGAGAGGGAAGTGGTGACCTTACTTGGCTTTGAAGAGGACTGTCGTTTTCAGGCGRTAGTTTCAGCATTACCAAATATGGTCATGGAAAGGGGCGTGGCCTAAATTCCGCTTTGATGATGTTGCTGCCCAGTCGAGTGAACGCACGGGAACTTACCAAGGATTTTCTGGGCAAAAGTTATGATCAATAACTCCAAGACAAGACATCGGTAAGATTGCTCTAGTCGAGACACGTGTTTAACTGTCGTATGAAGACGTCATGCAGGAGTTTAGTCCTCTTTGATTGGGATCTGTTTCTGGAACAATGGGCGCGGTATGTCCGCTATGTGGGCCGGGTAATAGTTTATCACTGACATGCCTGGTCTCTTTAGCAGAATACAGCCTTATACCAGGGATCATACCTGTAAAAATAATGGAAAATGCAATAAGTAGGCTTTGAGAGGAGTTCAGATACGTCGATTTATTTATTTATTTATTTATTTATTTATTTATTTATTTATTTAGTTTTCATTATTGAGCACGAGCAGCTGTATTAATTAAGATATTTACAGTAGAGGGGGGTCTGCATAGTTTCTAGAGAAACAATAATGCATGAATACCTTCTGTACACTGTCAAACCTATGAAACCAAAAGGAGGTTTCCTGACTGTAGCAACAGGCCACAGTCATCAACCACATCTTTTTTTCAATATTCACAGCAGCTTAACACTTTTCTTCTTCTTCTTTTTTTCTTTCTTTTTTATGCTCAGCAAAATTCCTTAAAAACTCAAGAATGTGTTCGGCTTGTGTCCAAAAGGAGGTGTGCGGACGGGAATTTCTTCAGTATGTAAATAAGACTGGAAAAAAATTAAATAAAATATTTCTATTCAGTTCTATTCAGTTTATTTATATAACACCAAGTCACAACCATTGTTTCAGTATGCTGTACAAAAACAGTCRGCAGATTGCTTTGAATCACTTTGTCTCATCCTGAAAAACTCAAGAATGTGTTAGGCTTGTGTCCAAAAGGAGGTGTGTGGACGGGAATTTCTTCAGAATCTAAATAAGACTGTGACAGGGAAAAAAAGCTCTAAACCAATAAATTGTGGGCTTGTTTTATTCACAGTAAGTGTGGTTTTATTAGGCTACTTTTCTTTGCTTTGGTTCATGATGAAATCAGCTCCTCAGAGCTGCTTCCTGGGTGTGTACTGTATGTTTCATTAGTACAGGAAACAAGACACTCAATGAGCTCAGTGGCTAACRACATTACCAATTTCAGGTCGAGCGGAGGCAGATACATTAGTGTACCATCGACAGCATACCGCCAYAAAATATAAAACTATCTGTTGCAGCGGAAGCCATGTTGTTTGATCTGTTGCTACAATATCTGCGTGTTTCAGGTTAAACCCACCAAACACAGATGAGAAGATAACGTGAACTCAAATAAAGCACTAAATCAATTCAAAAATAGTCCAAAAATATAGATTCTGCAGGTTTTGTGCGCTTGCATTAAAGTAATCCTGCAGATTGTCCTGATGCATCTCAGTAATCCAGGTAAAAAATCAAAAAGAAAAAAGTTGTATAGGTCTTCTGGACGCGTTCTTCTCTAATGAAACGTTTCGTCTCTCCTCCAAAAGACTTCTTCAGTCTGAGAGTTTCAGGCAAAATTCAGGCTTTTAAGCACTGCCTCCATGTGACYGATACTCACATCACATGGCTATCGTTGACACCTAATTAACACCYATTGTTAACAGGGGGTGGAGTGATACTGCCAATGGCAGTGCTGTAGGAGGGGGACAACTAAAAATGGAGGCCTCCACCTCTGTTTAATGATGGACGGTCTTTCTTTACAAAAATGGCTTCTTTTACTCCTCTCTCAAACCAACGTTCCTCTCTATCAAGAATGAGAACATCCTCATCTCTGAAAGAGTGACCGCTGGCCTGTAGATGAGTGAAAACTACAGAGTTCTGGCCATTAGATGTAGCTCGTCTGTGTTGGGACATTCTTTTGAACAGTGGCTGCTTTGTTTCCCCGATGTATAACTGGTCGCAGTCCTCCTGGCACTTAACAGCATATACAACATTGCTCTGTTTGTGCCGGGGCACTGGATCTTTGGGGTGAACCAGCCTTTGCCGTAATGTGTTTTGGGGTTTGAAAGCTACTGGGACATCATGTTTAGAAAATAAACGTCTCAGTTTCTCTGAAACACCTGCAACATACGGAATAACCACTGGTTTGGGTCTGGGTTTGGGGTCTTCATTTTCACCTGAAGGTTGCGTGGAGTCCTGTCTGTGTTTCCTGTCTGCTTTCAGGAAAGCCCAGTCAGGATAACCACACTGCTCCAGGGCCTGTCGTGTGTGTGATTTCTCTTTCTGCCTGGCTCCTGGGTTTGTAGGGACACTGTCTGCTCTGTGGTACAGAGTCCTGATCACTCCTAACTTGTGTTCCAGTGGGTGGTGGGAGTCAAAACGCAAATATTGGTCTGTGTGGGTGACTCTCAGACTGAAGAAGTCTCTTGGAGGAGAGACGAAAGAACCCGTCCAGAAGACCTATACAATTTTTTTCTTTTTTTTTTATTCAGTTTATTTATATAGCGCCAAGTCACAACCATTGTTTCAGTATGCTGTACAAAAACAGTCAGCAGATTACTTTGAATCMCTTTGTCTCATCCTGAACAGCTCAGTGGTGACAGTGGAAAGGCAAACCTCCCTTTAACAGGAAGAAATCTCCAGTAGAGCCAGAAACAGGATCAGGACAGGCAGCCATCTGCCATCGACTGGCTGGGTTTGAGGACAGGAAAGAGACACAGAAGGACCGGTCCAGGTGTATTTTCCTCTGGAAGAGAGAGAAAGAAAACACATTATTGACAGGAATAATTATAATGAACATGTAGAGGAGAGAGACTAAAAACAGCAGCAGAGTGAGGAAATGTGGTCAGTTTGTGCTCCAGCAGTCTTAACTTATAGCAGCATAACTAAGGAATAACTCACCAACCCTAACTATAGGATTTATCAAAAAGGAAAGTTTTAAGTCTAGTCTAAAAAGTAGACAGAGTGTCAGCCTCACAAGTAGAAACTGAATATTAGTCCTGAGAACTGAAAGCTTTGCCTCCCATTCTACTTTTAGAAACTCTAGGAACAAGTAAACCTGCATTATTACAAACTATGAAATCAAACGTAAAACATTTTATCCCGAACTATGTCAAATGGTGCAGCTGCAAAGAGTTTACTACAGTGTTCCAGATATAGGGACATGTAATTCTGAAATGTGGATTTACACTCACTGTAAACCAAGCTTTCAGCTCACTCAGACAAATCTGTAGCAGTACTTTAAGAATTGTTGGACTTGTGTCCCAAACTGCTCTTCTACAGTATAGATGTGTCCATTGTTGACCTTTATTCACTTTGACTGTTAAGTACATAAATATGTGGTGGTTGGCAGCTGTTCACAAATATTACTAACCATTTTTTATTTAATTGCTAAGGACATTTTTTTAATTCTTAGTGGACCTCATGACATGGCAGCAACTATCATTTAAAGCTTAGATATCTCCACTTGCTCAGCAAATTAAAGATGTTTCATTCTCGTTCTTAAAAGATTATAGTTRTGTTTACCTGGCTCTGTCTGAGAGTATTAAATAAAGACTCCTCAATCAGCGTGCAGCTGCTTGTATTTGTACCCTAAAGCAWATTTTGGTTGTGTTAAAGTATGTCTGGTTTGACTTTAGATCAAACCCAGCAGACTTTGGACACAAGAGGGCACCTTCTTCAAGCCCATGCAGAGACCATCGCAGCTCTCTTTGGTTTAAACTGAGGGACTTTCCAACAAACACAAGCAGCCTAAGTTAAACTTCCTGTGTGAGCAGGTCACGTCATGAACAGGAAACCTCACACATGCCTCAGCTTTTACGCAACTTCACTGAGAGCCTATAGACGCATTAGTCAATAATGAGCCACATATTAGTCCTTACATTTGTGGTGACAGAGTTCATGTGAAACAAAGATTCAGAACATGATTTTTAGCCTTTAAACTCCCCCAAAAAGTCTAATGGTGAGGTGGAATCAGGAGGATTAGCTAACAATGAAACCTGTTTTATATCAAGCCATATTATATTTTAAACTTTTTACCTACTTTTTAAGCTTTATTTTGATTAAATGTCTTTTCTCTTTGCAGAGCATACAATAAATGCCAACAGAAGTGTGTGACAATCTACCAGCACCGGATCTCACGTTCAGTTAAAGTTTCATTGTAATCTTTGCTGAAACCCCCTGCCATCGACTGTGACTGACATCCCACCATGCCCCTTGTTGTGTTCCCCACCTCCCAGCTGCTATGGGTGCGTGTCGCCGCCGTGTTGTTCACCTGCGTCGCGTTCAGCGTCGCAGCACACGGGGCCGCGCTGCCCCACGTAGGCATGGCGGACTGGTGCATCTTCTGCTGGGCGTTCAGCTTCGCCTGCACCCTGCTGGTCCTGCTGGTGGAGCAGTGCGGCCTCCAGGCCCGGATCCCCGTCTCCTGGACCAACTTCCCCATCACGGTCGCCAGCTACGCCGCCCTCCTCTGCCTCTCGGCCTCCATCATCTTCCCGGTGTTTTACCTCAGGAATGTCCCGTACAAGGAGACTCGTGACCATCGCATTGCCTCCACGGTCTTCTCCTGCCTGGCTGCGGTGGCCTACATGTGGGAGGTGAGCCTGACCAAAGCCAGGCCAGGAGAGGTGGCTRGTTACATGGCTACAGCTCCAGGTTTGATGAAAGTCTGCCAGACCTTTGTGGCCTGTGTCATCTTCATTCTGGTCAGCTCTCCGGTGTCCTATGACCAGCACCCAGCCTTGAAGTGGTGCATGGCGGTGTACTGCATCTGCTTCATCCTTTCCATGGCCATAGTGGTGCTGTGTGTGGGGGAGTGCACAGGCTGCCTCCCCATCCCGTTCTCCAAGTTCCTGTCAGCCTACGGGCTCCTGGCCGTCATCATGTACCTGACCGCCACCATCTGTTGGCCCGTGTTCCAGTTCGACAAACAGTACCAGGGCAGGGGAAGGGACTCGCGTGAGCTGATCACTGTGGCCGTGCTCACTGCTCTCAACTTCCTGTTTTACCTCGCTGACCTGGCTTACACGGCCAGGCTGGTGTTTGTCAGTGTCTGAGCTGAGAGGGAGTGAAGAACACGTCAAACAGCAGGGAGCTTAAATGGCACCAAGGAGCAGATGACAAAAGGGCAAAGACAAGTCTATTTGTGTTATGCTCCCTAATGCTAACCCTGATCAAATGAGGAAGCCTCCAAATGAGCAGTAGATTGCAGAAGTATTCACTTCCTTCGTAATGTTTATTTTATTGTAATGTAGTAGWTCTAATTGGAATGTTTATTTGACCATAGCTAAAATTCATATAAAATACCTTAAGAAATTTGCATCAGTTTCAGCATTGAGTTTATTTAGGTTCATTTTTATGAGTTACATACATCTGGCCACTGGACTTTTTGTCCTTTCCTCATGACCAAACTGCTCCAGCTCTTTTATGTTGGTTGGGTGCTGCTTTAAATCTAACCAGAGATTCTTTGATAGATTGAGGTCCAAGCCTTGATTGTTTCTTCTCAAACAGGGTCATTTTTTCGTCTGAAAAGTGAACCTCTGTTTKGGTATCAAATCCCTGGAAGACCTCTCGAGAATTTCTGTAATTTACTCTTTCCAACTTAAAAGAAAAAAACTGACCATTTTCTCTGTTTGTGTTGATGAAAAACCTCAAAATGATGCTGCCGCCACCATGCTTTATTGTGGGGAGGGTGGTGCATGTCTGCCTGTTTTATGTTTTAAGTGATATTTTTTCCCCCAGTTACTCTTCCATGAGCTCTAGCTCTGTGCAGCCTGTATTGGTCAGATGATGCCATCAGTAGCTGTCCAGCTCCATCAGGAATATCTTTGTCCTGCTTTATGTTGCTGTGATTAGCGCCCTCTTTACCTGGTCTATGAGTTTTTGCTGTAGTGACAGAATCTCTCCAGTGGATTAAAAAATGCTCGTGGGATTTTAATTTGYATGTGTTTGTCTTCATGTTGTTCTTGCRTGGAGGCAGCCAGAGGCGGACCAATTTAGGCAGCACCACTCGTCAGTGGTTAGCATTGTTGCCTCACAAGACCTCTCAAGAAGGGTCTTAACGGCAGCATTCACACCAGGGGGTTTGATCAGCGAAGCGACCAGTACAKTTCCTGTTTCAATTAGAATTTGTTTTTAAACAGTCGTCCTCATCTTGCTGTTCACATTTCGACATCATGAGACCAAGACGACACCTAAAAATTAATCAGCAGAACCTCTCCAAATATCACTAACTCTTTGTGAGTAGTGTATGTTTCATTAAGTTATTATATATTGTTAAGTACCAAATACATTTAGACCAAATTATCATTATGCATTATATCAGCTGATCTGATTTGTAAAGATCAGCATCTGCCTTCGAAAAACACATGTATCTGCTGACCTCTAGCTGTAGCCCGTAGAGGTGTTGATTCTGGGCACTGTATGAACAGAAAATGTGGGTATTATTTCACCAATGATTTGAGTAATTTTGTGAAGGTAATGGTAGAAGCTTCAAAGCAAAAAGTGTAAGTATTAGCGGTGCACAGATTACATTAATTTTAGGAGATCGGCCGATACTTTAGATAAGATTGTGGGGGACAAGATCAGCTTCTCATCTAACTCCACAAAGTTCTGAAAATCAGCCACTGTTCTCTTTTGGTCTCCTCTGCATACTACCTAATGTCTCGTTAAAAAAAGTTTGTATTGTTTCAAGGGTATTCAATGTTTTTCAAGATTAAAACATGGAAGTTGTATTGCAAACTTATAACACCCGACAGTGTCAGCTATTTAAAAAATCARTATCGGCCAAAATCTGAATCAGCAGGTCAGACTTTTTAAAGATCTTGATCGGCCAGACAACTGCAATAGATGTACCCCTAGTAAGTACCCACATAACAAAATGTGTATGGCCCAGTCCTGGCCCATACAATGCCTTAACATTCAGCCCAGATACCACAAAGAATGAAAGCCCTTTTGTGACCCAGAAGTGGTCCATGCTTGGGGCAGCAACAAGTAWACCAAACCACAATTGGAACAGTTGTGGCATGCCATCTAAAAAYGGGGCCATCAYTACCAGGCCTGGCCCACATCAAGTTGACAAACCATTTGCAGTGCCAGCTTGACACCAGATCTGACCCACACCTGTCTGCATGCAGCACTTTTCAGTTTTATATACTTTTAAAATGTATCRGATACAGGTTTTCCTCATTCCGTTGCAATACTTTTGTAGGATTATTACTTCTAATCAAAAATAAATCCTAATAAATTCCAGGCCGATTAGTAAAAATAAACAAATTCCAGATTTGAATTATTTTGCAACCTATTGTTTGTGTATACTTTCACTTAATCACAATGGCGCAGTATTAACCTTTTATTGTGAAATGATTGGTGTTAAATTTGTGTCTAAAGCAAGTATTGCATGGATCCAAATGTCTGCTTTTGCTTCACAGTGTAGCAACAAATAAGAAGAAAAGAAAGYTGGTAGCACACTGGAACACTTTCACCATGAACCAACACAAATGATGTTAAATTTGTGCTTTTTACTGCCATCTGTAGTTAAATGTTTGAGAAGACCTTATTTGAATAAATAAATGTGTCAACTCAAATCAGTGGGGTTTTGATTTTCTGTGATGGTTGCAGAGCGTAAAGCAGGTTCTGGTTGGTAAATACAGGAAACGATAAAGGAAAAAAGACGCATGTGTTGATGCATCAGGAAACGAGCAGACTGAGTCATTCTGRAATTTATTTTTTACTTCTGACACCCACATTTCACCTCTTTTACAAGCTGCAAGAATAAGTTTAGATTCTCGTGTTTAACTGTTTCTACACAATCATTTAGCAAGACATGTCTGTTTAATTTATATATCAGCTGATTGTGATCACTTCAAATGCAGAAAACCAGTGACTGTTCTGCTTCCGGCGGGTTTCGATGCCTTTTCCTGAAGCAACAGCAGCAGCAAGTAGCACATTTAGGCAAGCTGACTGTAGTTTTTTTTTTCTCTAAACAGAACTAAAGTTGCTAATGGAGCTTGGTGTATAAAAAGGCTTCCTGCAAAAATAGATTAAAAAAATGTTAGTCGTCTTCTTGCTTTTGCAAGAAAGCGTCACACCACATGGGTATAAAGACCAAAGTGTCTAAAGTTTGATAAATAACACGATGATTGTATTTCAGTGTGCATTTTAACTGCTAAATGATGTGCTGTTTTAGTGCTTTTGCTTAGTGCCACTACCAATCAAGGTCCTATGTGGGTGTACCGCAGAGGTGGTAGTCACAGTAGGCAAGGGTTCAGGAAGTGAAACTCACTATAGTGCCATAACAGCACAGTAGTTCAGACACATTCAGTCACTCCGGTACGTTCAGACTACAACTGCTCCCCAACAATGAATGGTAGGTTGTTTTCTGTAAGATACGGATGACCAAAACAATATTTTTATCTTTCTGGAATTTTTCTTAGCTGTATGATGGAAGTGTTGGTTTAGTATTGTAGTATGTGGGTTTCCTCCTGGTGTTCCAGTTTCCAACCACAATAAAAAAAAACATCAATTTTATGGACAAATTAGTGTACCAGTTAACCTATGTAGAGGGAGAATAGTTGTCTCTTCCAGGTTGCTTCTCACCCAGTGACCGTCTAAGACAGGCACCAGCTCCTGGTGACCCTGAATTTAAAAAAAATGGAATGAGAAAATGTGATTGCTTCTTACATTTTTTGTTAATGAGTATTATGACTGAGCTTATGTATTTTATACAATGTATGGGCAATCATTAGATAAGATGTTTAGGAGAGTTATTACGGTAAATAAAATGTGACAGCTCAGTTATGCGGCTACAGTAGCTTGGCAGTCAGAGTCACTGTCTTGTAAGGCTGCATGTTAGAGCCCAGGGCCCGTATTTATCAAACTTCTTAGAGTGGATTTATAGTGCTGAAAATTTCTTCGATTTTGTCCTACTCTCAGACTTAAGTGTAAGTACCAGTTATCAAAATTCTTAAGTCTAAAAATCCCTCTTACTCACCCAAAATGTTAAGACTGCTCCAGAGGACTCTTAAGTGGTTAAGAGTTGCTACTAGGGGTCTGAGATGGACTGAAGACAGAAATCACAGCTGTGTCATCCTCAACAATACTCTGCACCACCCCAAAAACTGCGCTAAGTGGTCCGGGGGTCTCCCACCTGAGTGTTATTCTCAGTTACAATGTACAGAGTAACTAAATAGCTTCTGGAGAGAATATTAAACTATCAGCTGGTGAGTGAAAGCAAACATGATGCTGTCAAATGTCTTGATTTTTTTTTTGTTTTCCTTCCACTGGTGAAGTTGGAATTGAACTTTTCTTTTATTTTTTTATTTTTTTAACTCAAACTTCATGAAAGCTGTTATTTCATAAAATAAAACAAAATCTGTAGCGTGCGGGGGCCGTGTCTCAGACCAACCAGATAATGACCGAGCGGTGTGTGTGTGTGTGTGTGTGTGTGTGTGTGTGTGTGTGTGTGTGTGTGTGTGTGT